CATATCAATTCAACCACAGAGGAGGGCAAGATCTTCTCCCCCGGCAACCTGAGGGCCACCTTTGACAACGCAGAGTACCAGAAGCTGGTGCAGCACTACGTGCAGGAGCAGTACACCCTGCGGTACACGGGTGGCATGGTGCCTGACGTCTTCCAGATCATCGTCAAGGAGCAGGGCGTGTTCACCAACGTCATCTCCCCCACCACCAAGGCCAAGCTGCGCATCCTGTTCGAGGTGTGTTTTGTGTGTCGGGGGGGCGAGTGTGGTTGTTGAGGTTTGGGCAGGATGCATGTGTCGGACCGGCCCCTGCGCCCCATGGGTGCCGCGAGTGGGGCCAAATCTTCCATACAAGCGCGGAAGGGAGCAATGCGCATGCCCACGAAGAACCAACCAGGCCCTATCACCCTGTCCTTAGAGTCCATATGCCAGTCACTTCCCCTAACCCCCTCTTCCCAGGTCGCCCCGCTGGCGCTGCTGGTGGAGAAGGCGGGCGGGCACTCGTCGGCGGACGGCAAGTGTATCTCCGGCCTGGATGTCGAGATCAAGCAGTACGACCAGCGCACCCAGATCTGCTTTGGCTCGATCAAGGAGGTGGCCAGGTTCGAGAAGATGCTGTACGGCAAGTCGGAGCGCTTTGCCAAGGAGGAGCAGCTCGTGGCATGAGCCTGCGCTGGGGGTTGTACCTGGAGGCGCTGCGGCACAGTCGTGGCAGGTTGGACGGCCGAGAAGATAGCTTTTTCTTGTTTGTAATGTCTGGAACGGTCGCTCGCGCGCAAGTAGTGCTTGACGAGCCGGGAGTGTACCCCAAGCGGCTTCTCCTGAAGAGGATTCACCCAGCAACCACCCGGGGTCAACCGATGGGTCCCAGTCAAACTGAGGTTTCGAATTGCGGGAGCTGGCTCAACAATGGAGAAGTGGTACTACATACCGTCAGGGCGCCACGATCAGGCCCCTGCCCGCTGAGGACACTGCGGCGTGATCACCATGGCATGCTTGATGAGATGGCGATTGTGAGGGGAAGCGGCCTGGGTCCTCGCGAAGCCTACGCCAAGCCGGGAGCGACGGGCCCCGAGCTGTGAAACACATTGTGATTGTCGAGGCCCTGCTGCTTGGACTAAGAAGCATAAAACTCTTGTATCTTTCAGTATCATGCCTGCATCGGGATCAGATGCGCTGAGCAGGTTTCGCGAGCTGGAGTCTCAAGTGGGTGGGGCTGTCGGAGGTCGAGGAGCACCCGGAAGTGGACATTGGTCCAGGTTGGCAATTTATGCAAACTTATCACTTCCTTCTCATGCAGTGGGATGCCCAAGAGAATCGCGTCTCCCAGAGGATTGCCAAGCAAGATGGCAGCGATGTTGCCCTCCAGAACAAGGCGTCGCCGGGACAAAGGGTTGGGGGGAGACGTGAGAGGTATGGGGAGGCCAGCCCGCCCTTCCGAGCCGAGGCCAGGAGCACACCCCTGAAGTCCCTTCACCTTTCCTCTCCCCACCGGGTCGCTGATGGCATCGGGTACATCCATGAGAGAGGGTCCATTTCGGCTGTCTATGACCGCATGCCATCAGGGAAGCACGGGCTAGGTGGCCATGCCGCAGGAAGCTCTTCAACCTTGCAGCATTTAGATGGCTTGCACTCCAAGTATTCCGCGGAGACCGACGCCCTCCAGGTGCGCAATGCCCAGAGGGGCTTGCAGAGGAGTTGGAACTCGCCGAAAAGCGCGCAAGTCCCAAATTCCTCATGTCAGGGCGGTCAATCCTTGCAACCCCTGCCGCTCTCCCCGTCTGTGGGTGCCGAGCCCTTGAATCTGATGAGCACCCCTCCACACACCCCTTCTTCCCCACCCAGGCCCGCCTCCAGGGCCTGGAGCGGGAGTGCGCCAGGATGGCGGACACCCGCAGCGATGCCCAGGCCCAGCTGGAGGCGCTTGAAAGGCGCGCGGCCGGCGCGGAGGCCGCCCGCCAGCGCGCTGACGCCGAGCTGGTGCGGCTGCAGGCCGAGGCGAAGCGCGCGCGCGCGGTGGCGGCGGCGGCGGCGGAGCGCGGGGCCGAGGAGGCCCGCCTGCGCGGCGAGACGGCGAGGCGCGAGG